CGTGAAATCGGATTATCGTGAAATTTGGGGGTCTCGATTTGAAAATATAAGCCCTACCAAAACCCACCTATACTCTTATATTACTATTTCTAACTTAAATATGTGTAATTGACGTCTATAGTTTTGTTAGCGACCAGCGGCTATTAAATAAAATGTAATAATAGAATAAATGATGGTAAAGAAGATGTTGACAAAAACAGAAAAAAAAGGTTTCTAATTAGTTACGACAGTAGCATGGGCTTCATGTATTTGTAGTGAATCAGATTCATTTAGAATGGGTTGTGAATGATCATCATCCGAAGATAATGGCTTCCGCCGTATTAAAACATCTTTTAATTCGTGTACCATACGTTCAGAATTTGAACGTACTTCCTTTGACTTGGCCTGTTTTTAAAATTTATAATGATTAATAATCAGTAAAGAATGATAATAAGGTCAATTAAATGTAGTAACACATACCTCTTCGATTCTCTTAGCTTTTTGTAGTGTAATCCTCTCTTCTCTTGTTAGTTTCTAAAGTTTAAATATAGAGTTTTTAGATTCATGAAGTTTAGAAAGTTTATACGTTTAATAATATACCTACCCTTGTAGCGGACTCGACTTCAACCTCAGCATCAGCTTCAAATACTTGTTCCAATACGTCCAAAGGTTCATCTGTTCGTGACCAGTCAATTGTGTGTGTTTTTTCACAGAAATCTTCGTCCTGATCATTCTCATCTTTTAAAGTTTCAGCGTCTTCTTCAATAGAATGACGACTGTTACTTAATTCTGAATCTATTAGTGTTGGGCCCATTATATCTTTTAAGGCTTTTTTTCCATCTTCCCATTCTTGGAACATGTAGGTGAAATCTTTACTTATTGATTCATATTGATTCATTAAATGTTTTCTTTCGTCCTCAGAGACTACAACTTCTGTTACGATAAGAACATCAATTATAATCATTAAAAAATAAGCAAATCAAAATAATATAATTGCAAGTACCTTCTGTTTCATAAAATTTACGCGCGTCTTCATTGCAAATATATAACTTTGCCTGAACGCCACGAACATGCTGTTCAATAGAAGCTAAACGATGAAGATAAGTCACGAGCTGCTTATTCGGAATTGTTTGTGAGGTCTGCTGAAGCAAAAAGTCTTGTTTGGGAGCTGAAATTATATACAATAAAATTTTAAATATATTTTTATATTATCATGCAATATAGAAAAAAAAATAAACAATAATCTACCTAGTTCATTAGTTGATGCCGCAATAATTTGGTCTAAATAAAGACCAGTAATTGTTCCTAAATTATCCAGATGTTCGTTTACAGTTGCCCAATGATGTTCATAATCTCTTCGTCCAGAATCTCTACCAGGTGTCATTACGTCTAGTGCAAGGAAATGGCACAACAACTCTCGACGTTTTGTATGCACTTTCTGAAAGCATTGTTTCAAATTCTCTAAGGAAAGAACGTCTTCTTCTTTTGAATTCCACTCATCACTTTCTAAACAAGGAATGATATTGTACATATTGTACATAATGGCTAAATTTTCTTTTAAACTCTCAGAACTCATGGCAACTATAGCATCCTGATAACTTATAAAAGCCTCCTGAAGTATGTTATGAACAATTTCTCTAAGCATACTACAACGACGATTTTTTGAAGATTGTTCGATGCGGGATATTGGAGAAAGAGGCATGGATCTATTACATTAAAATTAATTATTTGATTAAGGAGTAAGAAAAAAAAACTCCCCAAATCAGAAATCAGTGAGATTTGAAGTAAATTTACAACATACAATCTGTAGCCACGGGACACGAGTTCGATTTCTTGAATCATTATTAAAGCTTTGTTTAATTTTATATCGAAATTTTGACAATTATATACAAGTCTCTCTAAATAGTATAGTGCTGATTTATATAATGTTTTTGTAGCTTTTCGTCGCTAAAGTTCATATTATTAATAATAATAATATATATATATATACATATATAAAATAGATTAATATAACATTAAAGTAGAATAAGATGGAGATCAATAAAAGAAAATTACCATGTGACGATATAAGAAAAAGGTACCGCATAATGCCAAAGCAAATACAGTAGGTAACTGTAATATTTTTATACCGAAATCTTTAGAATCAGTACCGTGCAATAACCAAGTTAAAATGACGACAATTATGCCGATTATGGAACTCAACAAAATTTCAAAATTTCGACGCGAAATCCCGCCAAAATATAGCCCAGCTTCGCTGGTATCTATTGGTTTAGGTTTCTTGCTATCATAGAAGTAGACAGATAGCGTGTCATTTAAGAGGTGTGATGTGCATAATAAATATTTAAAACGTTCTTCGAACTCGTTTTCTTCTTGTAAAGGAAGTGCGGTTGATAATGTTTCCTAAAGCAATAAACGAATCGCTTTTTATTGAAAGCATAAAACTTACAAGCTTAGTATATAACTCTTTATTAACTGTCATACCTGGGTAGAATTAAATATGTTTAAAATGTATTGTGAAAATCGGGACATCAATGTAGTATCACTAGCTTGTGAATCTCCTTCTAATTCAAATAGGTTTGGTTGTTTGGTGAGTGTTTCTTCACTACCGATATCTATTAAGAATATAAAATACATATTTTAAAAATTCAAATGTTTCTAAGACATATTTTAGAAAAAATTAAAATATCTACCAGCAAGATATTCGGCGAAGGGAGTATCCTCGTAGACTACGTTTTCGGCCATAAGGAAACTTAAAAAAAACGAAAATAGATGAACGAAATTAAAAAAAAATTAAGGGCTCGGATTGGAGATCGACGTAGTGGCACATAAACTACATATGCTTGTTTTTCTCATATGTAAATTCGGAAAGAATTCAAGCGACCTTCACGTCATAGCGATAGACAGAAGTTCGCCTGATTGGCTAATAAATTCAATTTAATTTTACATTATTTATACAGTTTAGAGTACTTTTTAAAAAAACGAAAACCAA